TATGCCCAGGCGGCCCTGTGCCTGGGCCAACAGGAGCATGGGGGGGGATGCCAGTCCACCTCCAAGGCAAGGGCCGCCTGGGGCCGGCGGTGGGGCTTTGCATCGTCCTTCCCTCGTCATGCAGAGAGGGGCCGGCCTCTGCTCCAAAGAAATCCGGTGCACTGTCCCTGAGCTGGGTGTGATGCTCTGCTCGTAGGAGGAGCAGCTGGCGCTCCCTGGAAGGAGGCTGCCTGCCGTTTTGGGGTGCGACAGGAGACGCGCCAAGGGGGCTCAGAGCTCTTCCCTTCCGTGCCGTCCGGTTGCACAGGTGGCACTGCCAGAGTGGCTCTGGCTTCGGCTCCCTCCCACCCAGGAGGCTGCATGGTGCTCCCTGGGCTGCCTTGGGAAGCACTCGCAGCTGCTCCAAACGAGCCAGTGAGACGGACGGGTCGAGAACTGGCCGGCGCAATATTGTGGCCATCGGGGCATGGACAGCCTCGCTCTCTTCCTCTTGGAAGCTACCCCAGATAATCCCGTGCAGGTTCAGACAACCTGCGAAGCCACGTGGGCTCACAAGGTGGCTCTGTGTGTCGTGCGGATCCGGGGACAAGAGCTGGACGGGCAGAAGCCGTCTTGGACTCTGCTCTCCCGAAAACGGCTCACACGACATCTTCCTCCAACGTGCTTCAGTGCCCCTTGGGTCAGTGGACGGGGCCAAGCCCCCCTGCCGGAAGAAGCAGCCAGAACCCTGAACGGATCGAAGGAGCAGGAGGGAAGCCCACCCGAGGCATGGGAGGCAGCCGCCCCCCCAGGACCCCTCCAGGAGGGGCAGTGTCACAAAAGAGCCGCGTGGTTGCAGGGGGTGGGGGTGGGTTGCGCACTCCCCGCCGGGTTTCCTTCCCCAGAGGAAGTGAGCTGTCGGTCGGAAGGGTGGGTCCAACGGGGACAGTCGTGCAGGAAGAGCAAGGAAGGGCCCCTGTCCCAAGGCAGCATCCCACACCTGGAAGGAGCACCTGGTGCCATCTTTGCTTTCCTTTTGCTGCCCGGCAGAAACCTTTGCACCTTCTGGACATTTCAGTAGATAACTACTCA